CAATAGGGAGTAAGTATTGTAGTCATTATGTATCCTGTGAGATGTGCATTTTTGCCTAAACTGTTTTAACTGTTGACTTTTACTGCACTTGTGCCTTAATTGTTTTAACTTCTTGTATTTTTATCACACTTTTGTGCCTGTGTAAGCCGCCCTGAGCCTGTGTGCGGGAAGGGCGGGGTATAAATGAAATGAAATAAAATAAATAAATAAATAATAAATGGTCAGTGACCAGAGTAATAAGATTTTTTTTAAAAAAAATCCTGAAACAGCCATCTAAACTCAGGGGCTTCTTATTTAACCTTTGTCTTTGTGGGTAAGAATGCTTTGTGTGTGTGACATGGATTAAATACAGTGTTTTAAATTAAAAAGCACATATGTAATGTTTTTTCTTCACAGAACAAACCTGTTATGGCTTGATTTTTTTTAAAAAAAATCCTGAAACAGCCATCTAAACTCAGGGGCTTCTTATTTAACCTTTGTCTTTGTGGGTAAGAATGCTTTGTGTGTGTGACATGGATTAAATACAGTGTTTTAAATTAAAAAGCACATATGTAATGTTTTTTCTTCACAGAACAAACCTGTTATGGCTTTTGGGCTTATCACAATTACACTTTGCGTAGCCTACATTGGGTACTTGCACGCACAGCAAGAGAATAAAAAGGACATCTATGAAGCTATTGACAGTGAGGGAAACAGAGAGACAAGGCGGAAGACTTCAAAATGGGACTAAACAAGTAACAAAATGGTGTGTATGAATCATTGTAGAAGAGGAGACAAATAACTGCAGCTTTCTGAATTTTTTTCTGAATCAGCATTTTTAATGCAATAATGATTGTTTTCCTTGAAATGTAATCCAATTTAATCAACAGTATAAAATGTTATTGCCTGTAAATTCTGTGAATAAAACCCGGCATTATTAACAAGTGTGTGTACTTTACTGTGTTACAAACATCATTATTATGAGCATTTTTAAATTTCTTCTAGCAATTTAAAACAATGAATAATTTTACTAACAAAGATGCCTGTTTTAAAGAAGGGCTGGAAGGGAATACCCAGGAGGAGGACAAAATTATGGATTAAACAGCATCTTAATAAAGATCACTAATAACACAAAACCTGTCAACAGTCAGAGAATAAAGGGGAAAACTGGGAGAGGGAGAATTTTTTTTTTAAAGGAAGGCAGAGGCGGTATTAAGTATGGTTTCAGCTATTAAACTCTCATTTGTATATTATTGTGCTGCATAAACAATAGCTTGATCTGTAGTATATAGGTATCAAACAGGGATTTTTAAAACATTTTAAAAACATTTTTAAAAATGATGTGCTTCTATCTACAAAGAAAGGTCTTGGTGTGCACTATTACACTTCATTGGATATGGTATGTTTATGACGATAATAGAAATAAGTTAAGAACATAAGAGAAGCCAATGTTGGATCAGGCCAATGGCCCGTCTGGTCCAACACTCTGTCACACAGTGGCCAAAAATACCAGGTGCCATCAGGAGGTCCACCAGTGGAGCCAGGACACTAGAAGCCCTCCCACTGTGCCCCCCCCAAGCACCAAGAATACAGTGCATCACTTGCCCCAGACTGAGAGTTCCTATCTATGCCTTGTGGTTAATAGCCACTGATGGACCTCTGCTCCATATCTATATATCTAATAGCGAAGGTGCCCCCTGCGTGCGGATATCTAAATCCGCACAACAGGGGCACCTGGGGGGGAGGGAGATTTTCCTGCACACTTGGGGCAGTCCCCAGTTGTGCACAAAAATCTAAAAAGTAGAAAAAATATAGTGGGGCTATTTAAACCCCCCCAAAAGTAAAAGAGCTCTGGGAACTCTGCGGTGGACTGGCAGTTGGAAGCTGCTCAGGCCTCACCGCAGGAGTGGGGTGAGGGAGGAGGAGATTGGCGAGGCCTAAGCAGGACCGCTTTGCCGCGGTGGTCTTGGTGGGTCTTCTCATATGTTGCCGTCTCCTTCAAGGCCATGTCGAGGGTCAAGTCATCATGGCTGGCCAGTTTGCGCCGCAGCTTATGCTCCCTGAGACCTACCACAAACTGGTTCATGAGGGTGTCTGATAGGCTCGGGAACGCACAACATGAGGCCGCTCGACGGAGCCCGGCCAGGAAATCCACAGCGGTCTCGTCTGGGCCCTGGATATGCGCAAAGAAGTTGATGCACTCCACAATTTTTGTAGGCTTGGGCAAAAAGTGGTCGGCCAGTGCCTTTACCAGGATGTCGTGGTCAGACTCCCATCGCATCAACGAAGCACACGCTTGTCGAAAAGGTTTTACTTTATTTGAAGCAATAGGTGCATAACAGGATCACTGTTCAGAATGAGGCAAAAGCATGGAACTCAATAGATTATAGTAAATTCAAAAAGCTGAGGCCCAATTGTGGGGGTTCCCCTGCGCGCCATTGAGCCTGGGAAGCAACGCTCCTAGGTAACCATAACATATTTGCTTCTCATGGATAATACCATGAGATCACCCAAGCTACTACTCGCCAGCAACCACCTGCGGCCTTGAGAGATATGGACGTTCCTGCAACTAGGTAATTAAGCACTTCAGGCATACATGGAAAAGTGAAAGCAGACAAGCGCATACATAGAGGACTGATAAGTGCATACCTAAAGAATAGAAAAACACATTGGCAGCTTGCTGACAGTCGTATGTCTCCTCCTTCATGGTCTTCGGGTTGATCAGGTCCTTCAGCAACCGGAGTGTTTCGATGCCGCACGTACTGAGCAGCAGGGTCTTTTTCTTTCCCACATCTGTAACATCATGGTATTCCAGATGATTTTCCAGGCGTTCCAACCAGGTCTCCCACTGTTCAGGGCGGGTGGCGTTGAACTCTGGGATAGTATCCTGGCTGGTGGCCACCTTACGCATTCCATGTGGAGGATGAAGCTCAGGAGTGGCGGGTGAAGCAGTGCGGTGGTGATTCCTCGCTGGAATCAGACTTTGGGTTGGCGGAGCTGGGAGCGGTGTGGACGTGGTGCCATGAGAAGTGGTGTGCGGTGCGATGCTCAGCTCTTCTTTGTGGTCGTTGTTCAAGGGAAGCAGAATCCCACCTTCGTCGTTAGTGAAAAGTACTGGGACTGATGCAGTGATTTCAGCTCATACTTTTACAGCTCATACTTTTATTTTAAGAGTAGAACAAGACAACTCTACTGGCTCGCAGGCCGGCTTATATTCCCAGTAAACCTACACTCAAAACACACCCCACACCAATGATAGGTTATTTACATTGTCAGGCGTTCCATAGGTCCTTGTTAGGATCCTAGCCCTCTGATAGGTGTGGGCTAGGATCCGCTCGGGCCATTGTTCTCTGGGGCGAAGCTCAGCTGCTTCGCATGACCACGTGGAGGCCCAGCCAAAGTCTATGTTGGTGAGACATGGACTTGGTAGCCTGTGAATTTATCCTGAGAGCTACAACTCCTGCAACTGTCACTGTTGTCAGCTGCGGCACGGTGCCATTGACAAAACTGTTTCACACCCCTTCAACTGCAAATAGTCCTACCCAGTTTTGCTGCACCTGACAGACATTCTGATCATCTAGGAGCCACTTTAATGCTTTAACGTTTTATGTGTAGGGCTCCCAAATCGTGCCAAATCGCGGTGGGGGATCCACATGTCTTCGCAGAATCCGTGCCGCGGGGACAGTGGGATGCGTTGCACCACCGTTGCCAGGACATGACGCTACGCATTGCTCTGGCAACGGGGCTGTTTGGAGCCCCATTGCCAGAGCGGCACGTTGCATCAAATCCTGGCGACGGGCGGGTGCAACGTGTCTCGCCGTCCCCGCGGCACGGATTCAGTGAAGACATACGATCCCTTGCCGCGACTTGGAAACTCTACATTTACATGTCAGATATTTGGTAGAAACTTTTTTTAAAAGACTGCAGTTGAGAGAAAGCATACAGCAGATTTGTAAACACACTTGCCTGGCTGCCTGCGGCAAGAAAGAAAATGTACCGAGTGATGAGGCATGGGAGATTTTGTGAACTGGGTTATTCCCTTTCAGAGTGTTAGTGTGTGACAAATGATTAGTATATATGTGAATGGTCAAGCTCAAGGCTAATAACTTTTGCAGGTCTGCTAAGTAGGGAATATGGTTTTCCCCACTTGTCAAGGATGCTGCTATGCATAAGCTGTTCCACGCATGATGGCAGCATATGAATGAGTAATCCCAAGGAAAACAGTATTAAATGAATATTTATGAAGGGATAATCACTTTTGAAAAAGTAAATCATTTAGTTAGCAGTAGGAAAAAAATGTCTGCTACTTTTAACGGCTAGAATAAATGCTTTCAAAGGAAAACCCTGGCATACTAAATGTAAAAGATTTCCTTGGGAGGCTGCCTAACACAAACTGATGTCTAAAATGCTTTTGTGATCAAAGCTTGCCCTGCCTAGCAACAGTTGCTGGGTGAGAGTTGGCCCAGACTCTCTCACAGCCACCTGATAACACAGAGCTCTTTAACATCAGAGAAGCAGCCAGCCACTTCAGACACCACCATCTTACCAAACCAGGGTCAATCCTTCCTCTCTTCTGACCAGCACAGAATCTAAGGAAGCACCAAATCCATTCAACTTGGGCTGCAAGAACAAAGGGTACACCTTTGCATTTAGACCACAGTTATATCAATCATTATCTTCAAAGCAAGAAGCATTCTAAATACAGTCATGATTAGGAATCCTGACTTCGACACATTTGTTTGCTGTGCTGTGTGTTCAAAACTAATTCCACCACCGCCTACAGTAGAGACCTATGAGCGGATTAGGGAATATAAACCTTTCAAAACCCGATATTATACTCACAAAGATATACTGGGTAAGTCAGAATTGTTTACTATTTTCCCCTCCACTCTTGACACAGATGACATACAACTGGTATTCCTCTGTATGCTATGCAGATATCAATTTCATTAATTGATCTGATACATATAAATATGCATCCATACTTAGGAGAATGGTGGCCATGAAAAAGAAAATAGTAAAAACTGGAAGGCTTACAGGAAAAGGCAACTCAAATGATTAAGCAGTGGGGGAAATCTTTGGGAGGGGAGAAGTCAGTTGTAGGGGAAGGGTTTTCAGCTTTGTGGGAACAAAGAACCACAAAGGTGTATAAATAATAAGGATGTAACAAATTATTTGGTTGGCCCTGGCTAGTATTTGGATGGGAGACCTCCAAGGAATACCAGGGGTATGATGAGGAGGCAGGCAATGGCAAACCACTGGTGAGCGTCTCTTGCCTTGAAAACCCTACGGGGTCACCATAAGTCAGATGTGACTTCATGGCACATTATTTATACGCTGTTCATGCTAGAAATCAGCAGTGTGATGTGGTGTTTTATAGTATGGTATAGTAGTTACATGGACTAGGATCTGGGAGGCTCCAGGTTTGGATCCCCACTCTGCAATGGAAGTTTGCTGGGTGACCTTGGGCCAGTCATAAACTCTCCTACCTCACTGGATTGTTGTCGGGATAAAAAAGAGGAGAGGAGAATGACGTAAGCCACTTTAGCTCCCCACTGGGGAGAAAAGCAGGCTATAATAAATAAATATTCCATTACATGTTGGTTCAAGGCAAACCAAAAGAATTCATTGCCATAGGATGCTCTGATACCTTTTAGAACAGAATCAGTTAATAAAGACTAGATGGAGGAAAGGTCTATCAGTAAGAACCAGGATGGTCCTCCATGCTAACACATAGCTGCAGAGGTGCCTGACTGATGCAATTCCACACACACACACACACACATACACACACACACACTGATGCAATTCCACACACACACACACACACACACACACACACACACACACACACACACACACACCTAATGTAGCCAATCCTCCAAGAGCTTACAGAGCTCTTCTTACAGGGGCTACTGTAAGCTGTTG